TCTACAAATTCAACTGATGCGACACCCATTGGTGACTGAATCTCTCCTGTTACCGTAGGCTGAAATTTAAAGAAACAAAACAAAATTGCTTCATATAATGAAAACAGAATGTAATCCTCAAAATCATTGCGGATGTGGATGTGTGAGTGTAAATTATGAAAAACTAACCAGCCAATCTCTTGAAGCTTCATACAGAAGAAGCCTCCCCAACTCAGCCATGGCATTTCCTAAAGCATACGATGTCAATGCCTCGTAAGCAAATAAAAAACAAACACTTACACTATGTGTGGATGAGGGAAATGAATTAGGAATTTTGATAAAAGTTGAAATTTATAAATTGACATGCACTAATTCCTTGTTTGGATTCATAAACATAGAATTTAGAATTTCCGCCTAGAAAGAAAAAACTTGGAATTTGAAACCTCCATTTCCCAAGTTTAAATTCCATGTAAATAGGTGCCATTTCCAAATTTCTATGAGTCAAGGTTTAAAAATAAAATATTCTACTATTCAAATTCATAAATTCTAGAAAATAAAATGCCGTCATTTCTATTTCCGTCATTTTGAATTCCTTAGTAATCTTAAATTTCAAGCTCGATAATCCAAACAGAGTGTTAGATAACAAAGAGTTTAACAATCAAGCTATAGATAGTTTGACATTGAATTTATCATCTGGGACTTTTCAAATCCACTCAAATATTCACATTACGTAGAACAGAAAAACTAATTTGAAACATACGAAAAATCGGACAAGGGGTTTGCTCATTTCTCAAAACCGAAACCCAATGCTTGATCAACGGGTGCGGTGGCACGAAAACCTGGAAAAAAAACCAATCAAGCCTTATTCAGCATAATATTCAGTTATTCACAAACCAAATCGCAAATTCAGACAGCATTATCCATTCCCAGTTCTTAAAATTCACCCAAAATTTGGCAGCAAATTTCAAACATACAAAACGACATTAAAAAATCAAAATTCATGGAATTTTAATAAATCTGGAACCAAACAGAGCATAAGGGTGAATAGTGAACAGTGAACTAACAAGCATTCTGTTCCCGGAAGCCAATTTCTCCTCCGTGGCCATTTGAGACTTCACCGCAACGGAGCTGCGCCGCCGCGTAGCGGAATACGAGATCTGCCGGTTCAAAAAAAACCCGGTTGAATGCTTAAAATACCGAGAGAGACAAAAAAAAAATGGCGGATTTACTGCGATTTTTGTTAGCTAAAAAGGAAAAAGCAACGACCTTTACCTTTTTGGGATTCGAAGAAGAAGAAGAGGCGGGAGCGAGATTAAGTAGGAGAGAGGAGCTAGGGTTTTGGAGGCGACAAGTGGAACCGAAACGCGGCGTTTCGGAGGAGGGACACCGGAGAGAGAAATTAATACGGCACGCCATTAGGATTGGATAGATTGGTGCAGAAGACATGGAGGGACTCTTTTAACTCGAAACAGAAAAGGAAAGATGATGATTTGGCTCCACGAAACGCGTGCCGTTTGGCCCACGGGCCTCGGGTGGAGATTTATCCGTCGGCCCAATTGTGGTCCGTGGGCTTTTCGGTTTGGGTTTGGTTTTGGAGATAATAACGGCATGCGTTTTATCTTATTCTAGGGTTCCGTGCATTGTCCCGCATGAAAAAACAAGCAAAGATTAGGACGTTCTTGTCGTTTTTAGTATTAGTAGTAAAGTTTTGGTCACTTCTGGTTAAAGTCAATGCCGTTCTCCTATGTACTCTTTTCAGCAAATACTTTAGAGAACTTTAACAAATAGCTCATGTTACCGTTTATTTTAACAAAAAATCATATTTTTACTTTAAAAAGTCAATCTCGGTACTATTCACTTACAACACATTTTTGTCATTTTCTTTAAAACTCGAAGTTTTCAAGTATTTTTCATTAGTTTTCCTTATACTTGGGAACTTTAACGAAAAACTCACGATATTATTCACTTTAACAAAAAATCACATTTTTACTCTAAAATGTCAATCCTAGTACTATTCACTTACAACACATATTTGTTATTTTCATTAAAAGGATTTGAAAGAAAAATGGATTGACTTATTTGTCACCCACTATAGCTCCCTTTTATGGATCAAATATCAAATGAAAAATATGATACTTAATATAAGAGTTTAGGTTGGTTTGAAAATACTTTTTGATGACTAAAAGTGCTTTCAAAGAATATTTTTGAGTCCTAAAAGTACTTAAATAAAGCATTTCAAGTGTTTTTTTTTCAATATTAAGTTGCAATAAACTAATTATTGATTTTCAAAATATTTTTTCTAAAATAAGTACTTTTAGATATTCAAAATCACTTTTCGGATCAGCCCTTTATTAAATAAAAAGGGGACGCGGTAACAAGTGTGAGGTCAATGATGGCAGGGGCAAGGTATAAAATATCGATGATATCGGAAATATCGGTAGTCTAAAAACACAGAAATTTCGATAGAAATATCGGGATATTATCGATATCGATAAAAATTGAATAAAAACCACGGAAATTATAAGAAAAACTTGGAAATTTTCATTGAAACTTTGCAGGATGTTTATTTAGTCAATTATTTATTAGTTTATCACAAAAAGTTGGAAGGAAATGCATTGCATGATAGATATAGCTGATTTAAGTTGATTATATAGCGAGCTGGCAAACATTGTGAGTGTAGAAAATATGTAGTAATTAATGAAAGAAATTTAAACACACCATAATCATTTATATATAATGAATTAGTACAATATTTTACACGTGATACATTGCATGGTAAGATACACGAGTGATTTAGCAAGGTCTAAAATATCGATGATATCGGAAATATCGGTAGTCCAAAAAAATATCGGTAGTCCAAAAACACGGAAATTTCGATGGAAATATCGATATATTATGGATATTTTAGACCATGGGTAGGGGTGACTTGGTAACAATTGAACTTAACAAAAAGGAAGGAGGACATCCCCGGATCCTCAAATCATGTCCGTTCATTGTATATCGTACAATCATTTTTCGTCAAGTACTATTTATATTTAATTTTAAATAAAACTATTTAAAATGATTTCTGACCGCACGATGTACGATGAATGAACACGATTTGAGAATCTCTAAAATCTCCACAAAGAGATCCGGAGAGAACGCTCATTCAACCAAAAGAGATGTACATATACAGTGCATTAGATGACGTGGTAACAATTAAAAAACAAGTATTCAAGTTTAATTTGGTTTTGAACACTTGGTACTTGATAACACATGCGGTACGTGGGTCGGCCCTCGAGGAGGGTCGCATCGATGACGGATCGTGGAGGATTGGGACTCGCTGTTGAGAAATCGGGTTCTTTTTTTGTTTGCTACTTGAGCTTTTTACTTTTTTGAATTTTGATACACAAAAATAATCGAATAATCCCAAATCCATTGCAATCTAGTGGGTTGAGACCAAGATCTACTTTTAACCAAAAAATGCAAAAAGTTGATGTGGGTACAAGATCCAGCAATTCCCTTCATCCATCTTTAAAAAAAAAAAAAAAAGATTTAATATTTGTGTTTAGAAAATACCTCATTTGAAGTTTATGATAAGTTGATTTGAAGTTAGAATTCACTACTTAAGATTTATGTTAAACGTAATGTGGAGTGGGAATGCGCTGAATCAGGCAGAATCAAGGTACTCAATCTTAACTTAAATGATATTCTTCGTGTTCAAACTTGAAAAAGTTACGTAATTGCAAGCCCAAACTCGGCTTGGATAATTTCTTTTCAAGCACGAGCTTGTTTTTTAATTAAACATGATCTTTTGATTGGCTTTGCTCACCTCATTCTTTTTTATTTATTTTTTAACAAACAATATTATCTTACACTAAAGGGGTGTGAGTGAGTTTAATCTCATAATGGGTTAGCAATAATGTGGTTCAAATTCGTTTTTAACAAGAATCAAACATATGACCTCTCATTTACAAATGAAGAGGAACACTAACAGACCGTAGTACATACTAAGTGGCTACGCAACTCATTCTTTGAACAAGCACAAACTTAGGTTTAGTTCGACTTAAATTTCATCAAAACCTAATAAAATAAACATAATAACAAAGTGTTGATTATATTTTTATAAATGATAGTGTTAGTGGGTTAAATTGTAAGTTGTTAGGGGAAGAAAGATTGGTGGGAATCAAACATTGTATGTTGAAGTGAAAGACTTATCCACCAAAACAATTCATCACTAATAATAGTCATGTAAATTTAGATCATAGCAATAAATTTAATTGATTGAAATAATCATCATATTTTATACTTAGAGGTAACCAAGTTGACTACATCAATATAATAGACTTGACTTGTTGAAAAAATATCATGTTGTATGTTAGAATATTTGCTTGAATTAACAATAAATACGATATTTAGCTGTATACTGTTAATATTCTTTGTACACAATTTAACCATTAAAAATAGACACTCGATAATTATTCCCGTCTCTTATTTCCATATTAGTTTAAAGTTATTTGTTCGAATTAATAACTTTATATTCACAATAATCATTTTGCACAAATGTTGAGAATGAATTATCTCATAGTGTATATGCCATTTATGCTAAACATATCATTTATAAAGTCCTAATTCACTAACAGACCTAATAAGTCGAGCATAACTTTTTCGATGTGGTTGTAGCATCGTCATGTAAATTTACCAATTCACACGTAAATCATATAGTTTAGAAAAACTATTTGCCATAATTGTTACAATGTTGCATAGATATCACTTTGTCGTAATATATAACTCAAGTATGTTATTACGTTTTAATTTAGATATATCTAAATTAAGACTTGACCATTTGTGACATGATTGCATTTGTTTTCGCTCTCAAAAAATATGTGGCAAATTGTTAATGTCTTGTTTCAAGTTTAAACAAAATGTCTCAATCATATAAACCAAACAGAGTTGACGTGCGATCTTTCTTTTGCTTTCGATCACGTAAACAACGTCCCGACGCTCTTTTGGTCTTTTACTTTGCCTTTCCTCTTCTTCACGTGACTCTTTTCACACAGAGCGCAAAAGAGGTTCGTCCCCAAGCAACCACTGGACGTGGCGTCTCGTCCTCGTTTTTTGGCCGAGACTTCACTCCCCAGCCGATATTTTACAATTTTTGTTCCCTTTTGACACTCTCTCAAGAACTTTATTTTATTTTAATTTTGTTTTTTTCGACGCTGTCGATTTTTCACAGAGTTTGTGTTATTTTTAAACTAATTTAAAAGGGGTCAGTAGTTGTTTTGTTTCAGGTTTGTTTTTATTCTCTCCTTGGTCTCTGGGTTTCTCGGTTTTTCTCTCTCCTATCTCCCTCTCCCTCTCTGCTTCTTTGATAAGCTGCTGTTAGCTTTCCATTGGCCAACACCAAAAGGCCAAGAAAAACCAGAAGAATATAAAGGAAAGGAAAACCTGGGTTTTGTTTTCTGTGCATACTGGTGAGATCCCAGTCGAGTAAAACTCCGTCGAGCAGGCAAACATGGACTCTGTGGATCCTACGAGAGCTTTTATCAAGAATGTCAAGCGTATCGTTGTTAAGGTACCCTCCCGTTTCATCATTATGTATGTGTGTGTGTCTATATATATATATATATATATATATATTCTGAGTTGCGAAAACAAATATATATCACACTCTGTTACATATTTGGGCCTTTTTTGTTTGTTTTGGTGATGATCATATGAGGCTTTTGTTTGAGCCAATTTGCAGACGGCTTTTCTTTTTTTTTTTTTTTTTTTTTTTGGTTTTTTGTTTTTTATAAATATATTAGTTAATATGACTACTATATCAATTAATATGACTAACATGTTAAATCCCAATATGTTCAATGACATGTAAGTTGAAGAGGAAAAGTTTAGAGAAAAAAAAAAAAGAGAACTTGGGTTGTATAGGATTTTCGCTTTCGGTTGATCTGAATCTTGATTTTTGGAAATTGTCGATGATGCTTTTATGATTTTTAATGCCAATTTGATCACTTGTTTGTTCGGATTTGAAGGTCGGAACAGCTGTGGTCACTCGGGGTGATGGAAGATTAGCATTGGGCAGACTAGGTGCTCTCTGTGAGCAGGTATGCAACTGGTTCCAGAACTAGGAGGAAGATCTCCAATTTTGTTGATTTATATGCACTGTTTCATATTTTACACTGACTAAAAAAAATGGCATCTGAGATTGATGAGTGATGACATACATGAACGGGATATTTGCAGCTTAAAGATATAAATTCCCAGGGGTATGAAGTTATTTTGGTGACTTCAGGAGCTGTTGGTCTTGGCCGGCAGAGGCTAAGATACCGGAGATTGGCAAATAGCAGGTTTATATGCAAGGACGTGTAAATTTCTCAGTTGTGTGTCGAATTTTTGGCATTGAATTCGCCAAACAAAAGTGCCTGAAACAAGTTAATGCCTTGTTTTGCAGCTTTGCTGATCTCCAAAATCCACAAAATGATTTTGATGGGAAGGCTTGTGCAGCTGTTGGACAGAGTAGTCTCATGGCTCTTTATGATACCATGTTCAGCCAGGCAAGACTATTATCTTCTTGCAGTTTCATTTAGATTACAATTTTTTAATATGTAGTTTCAGACTTGCCCCTCGTCACTTTTAACAATTTTGGCTTTCTTTTAATTGCAGCTTGATGTGACTTCTTCGCAACTTCTTGTGACGGATAGCGTTTTTAGGGATGAAGCTTTCAGAAAGCAACTTTCTGAAACCGTGAAGTCGCTGTTAAAACTGAGGGTGATTCCAATCTTCAATGAAAATGACGCTGTTAGTACTAGGAAAGCTCCATACGAGGTATACAAATCCCCTTGTTTTTGTTTTCATAGGGCTTTTGATTGGTGTATGGGTTTATACTGCCTATGTTCTTGGTTGTGTGTTGTGCAACATTCATGCTTTTGTCCTTCTCCCACTCTTTTTCCCTTGAAAACAAATCTCATGAACTGCTTAGGCCCGTTTGGTAAGATTTTGTTTCTGATTTTCGGTTTTTGTTTTTAATTAAAAACGGAGAAGGGAAATTGTGAGATGAAGTGAGAAGAGAGATGATAGATGTAGAATAATTTCGAGCAGTTTTATTTTTTAAGGTTTCATACATTTCCGTTCATTTCTTCCTCACCTCTTCAATCTCTCATCTCCCTCCCGACTTTACGATGTGCATTTTCCTTCCATCTCTTTAGCTTTAACAAAACAAATGAAAATTAGAAATGCAAATGTTACCAGACGGGCGCTTACTTTTCCTTCTGTCAAAATATACATCTGTTGCTTCTGAATGGAAGTTATGTTTGCAGGATTCTTCTGGCATATTTTGGGACAATGACAGTTTGGCCGGTCTATTGGCTCTGGAACTAAAAGCTGACCTTCTGGTTTTGTTAAGCGATGTAGAGGGCCTCTATAGCGGTCCTCCTACGGACCCAAAATCAAAGTTAATCCATACTTACGTGAAAGAGAAACATCAGGGAGAAATAACATTTGGCGATAAGTCAAGGGTGGGCAGAGGTGGTATGACTGCTAAAGTCAATGCTGCTGTGTGTGCAGCTTATGGTGGAATCCCTGTTGTTATCACTAGGTAAATTCTATCATCTGCTTGTTTTGATATACAATAACCAGTTTGTATTTTTTTTTGCCTGTGGGAATCGTAACATTATCTGGCGCATTCATTGGAATTTTCCGGCGTACTGCAATAGTTTGTTGGTGCTAAACTAGTTTTGTATTTTATTTATAGTGGCTATGACACAGACAACATAAAGAAAGTGCTTCGTGGAGACCGAATAGGCACTGTATTTCATCAAGATGCACATTTGTGGACTGTAGTTAAGGAAGAAGGTGCACGTGACATGGCCGTTGCAGCGCAGGAAGCATCTAGACAGTTCCGAGTAATTGTCTTCATAAAATTGTTTTTTTTTTTCCTTTTCAATGAAGCTTGAGGTTCCTAATATAGAGATTGAAGTATTCCTCAAGAAGTTGGATATAGAGTAAGTGGTTAAGTTGAGAGATTCAACATCTGATTTGAATTATTTTCCTTGCAGGCTCTAGGATCTCAAGAGAGGAGGAAAATTTTGCTCGACGTAGCTGATGCCTTGGAGGCAAATGAAGGTGAAATTATAGCTGCGAATGAAGCTGATGTTGCTACTGCCCAGGAGGTTGGATATGAGAAGGCCCTAATATCGCGTTTAGCCCTAAAGCCTGGGAAGGTATGCAGTTTAGGACTTGTGTAGTTGAAATTAAAACCTCCATCACTCCGGTTGGATGAAATCTTCTTATTTTGTATTTAATGTGTCTCTACAGATTTCTGCTCTTGCAAAGTCTGTACGTAAACTGGCTGACATGGAAGAGCCCATTGGCCGTGTTCTAAAGAAGACCGAGGTCAGGACACTTTTCTTGTTCTTCTGATTCAGTATTCATGAACACATGTGGTACAGGTTTAGAGTTTTAATGATTTAATTTACACAGAACTAATTGTTAATCGTAGCCCTTTTGATAAACTGTTTTCCCTCTGCACTGGAACTCACTTTTGCCAATTTTACAACTGCTCTTACATGCAGCTTGCAGAAGGGCTTGTCTTGGAGAAACTGTCATGTCCTTTGGGTGTTCTCTTAGTTGTGTTTGAGTCTCGACCGGATGCCCTTGTTCAGGTATACAAAATATCCACTCCATTTATACTCCTGACTCCTTAAGCATCTAAGCATGCAGAAATTTGCAGTTTTACAGTCTTGTTTTGGTTATTGACGTTTTCTTGATTTTGTTCACATGGTAGTTTCTTGATCAGTTTACCAACACTTTTCTCTTCCAAATGGTTCAACAGATAGCTGCGTTAGCAATTCAAAGTCGGAATGGTCTTCTGCTTAAAGGTGGGAAAGAAGCCAAGCGATCAAATGCAATCTTGCACAAGGTTTGAGACTCTAGATTCTGGCCTTTTGCTATTATTTACAAAGTAAAATTTCAGGAGCATGGTTTTCTCTGCATTGACACGTTTCTAATTTGCTTTGGCTTGATTACTTCCTTTGCAGGTCATCACCTCAGCAATCCCAGAACCTGTTGGTGGCAAACTTATCGGACTTGTGAATACACGAGACGAGATTCCTGACCTACTCAAGGTGTGTATAGAAACTTAAAACTGTTTATGGTTTTTCAGAACGATGAATTCTAAAAAAATTGTTTTGCTGCAGCTCGATGATGTGATCGATCTTGTCATCCCTAGAGGCAGCAATAAGCTTGTTTCTAAAATTAAGGAGTCAACTAAGATACCTGTTCTTGGTCATGCCGGTAAGAGAAATAGTACTGGCAATGTAATACCGTACCGCTGCAAACTAGAATTACTATTAAACTGCTGATTTTGATGCACAGATGGGATTTGTCACGTTTATGTTGACAAGTCCGCTAATCTGGATATGGCAAAGCGAATTGTTCTGGATGCAAAAGTAGACTACCCTGCTGCCTGCAATGCGATGGTAATTTCACTTTTTGCTATCCATGACTGATCGTTTATGCACGTCCATTTATTTAGCTGTATCTGACTTTGGAATTTGCCGTAGTGCATGCCTTAACATGTTGCACTCTTTCTCAGGAAACACTTCTTGTACACAAGGATCTGTTGAGCGATGGCGGGTTTAAGCAGATAATTTCAGAACTCAAAGATTCAGGTGCGATACTGTGTGCTTTTCTATCAACAAACTGCTGGAAAGTTTATAAAATATATCTGTATAGTAACCTCTTTTCTAATTGAAATCGAGAAAAATATTTTGATGCCTAACAATGTGATAAACTTATTCAGAAAGCCGCGACTAAACTTTTGTTTGTTCCTATCCTAGGACTTCGGAACTATGCTTCTGTTCCCATGGATACAATCTATTTACATTTTTCATTTCCACACACTGGTAACGACTATCAGTTAACGAAATCAAGTCGGTTGCAGGTGTTAGCTTATATGGTGGACCTAGGGCAGCAACTGCGTTACACCTTCCAGAGACAGACTCATTCCATTACGAGTACAGTTCATTGGCTTGCTCAGTTGAAATTGTTGATGATGTGAACGCTGCAATTGACCACATTCATGAACATGGAAGGTATATACATTCACATATTTCATATCTTCTTTTTCCACATATCATTGCTGTACTAATTATTTTCCAGCGATTTCTCTAACTTTATTGCATCTCCTCTCCACATCCCCTGTTTTGCAGTGCTCACACTGATTGCATCGTCACTGAAGATGGTCAAGTTGCTGAAGTTTTCCTAACTCAAGTCGACAGGTAAGCATGTTTCATGCGTTCAAAGCGTCTTACAGAACATGACAAACTAGAGCATTTCTCATTGGTTTCCCAAACCATATTCTCTTTGTGAAAATTATGAACGATATTTTCTAGTAATGTGGCAACGTATGTTAATAGTTTTACACAAAAATTTCCGAATGTCACACATCTTGATGGCTGTACTGTTTGCATCAACAGCGCTGCAGTCTTTCATAACGTGAGTACAAGGTTTTGTGATGGAGCGCGCTTTGGACTGGGTGCAGAAGTAAGTGCTCTCAAAATAATTCCGTCTTTGAGTTACGTTTTCTTCTTCCGATCATTTGTCACTGATCTGGTGGATGAACAGGTCGGGATAAGTACGAGCAGGATTCATGCTCGAGGTCCTGTAGGAGTTGAAGGATTGCTAACAACAAGATGGTATATCAATCCTGCATTACCTTTATTTCTAATTTCTCTTTCTATTTCCTTAGAATTTTGAGCATACTGATTGTTTCTTGTTGCGCGATCATCCTTCGTTTGCGTAACAAAATGCAGGATTCTGAGAGGGAACGGGCAGATTGTAGACGCGGATAGAGGAGTCGAGTACACCCACAAGGACCTGCTTAGTTCCTAAACATCTCAATTAAAAGCATTTGTAGCAGACAACTTACAGATTTAACACCTATGGTCATCTGTTAGCCTTAGTTTTTACGTATATCTTATCAAATGACAGCGTAGGAGTTCGATTGCTCCGCAGAAATGTTCTTACGTATTTGTATTGTCGTATAAAATCGACCGTTATCCCCTTGCCAGATTTTTTATTACCTGGATTAGTTAAGGGGGGCTTCATGTAATCATCCTCTTAATCATGAATAAATTAGAGAGTCTTATGTTAATCCTTTTGAGTTCTTATTATTTTCGTTCTTTGATCAATACGTGCGGTGAGAAACTTTGAACTTTCCAAGTGCTGAGTGCACTAACTTAAAAACCTCTCTAATTTCAAAATAAAGCAGATGACGCTTTACTGTAGTAGCGCAAAACTTAAAATCATTTCTAACCATTGGGTTAAAACCTAAAATAAATGTATTAGACCCCTCCCAACCCCCAATCGTTCTCCATTAGTTAGGCCTAAAAAAGTATTTGGTTTAAAACCTATTCTTGGAGTAGATTCTGCCCAAAATTCAGGTTAGGACTAAGTTGTGGTTCACCTTATGCGAGTGGATGCGCAAGAAATTTTCTTATGCATGCCCTTACACACGGCAAAGATGCAGCGGGTGGGCCCCACCGCTGACAGCTTTGTCGGCCACCCAATCTGGAAGTATTTTTGCTCATCACCATTTAGTGTGATGTATGCTCACCATCCTATTAATTACTGTTAGAAGAGTTTGAATTTCGAAATTCGTGTAGTGGATAAGCACAAATCTCAAAATTCAAACTCATCTAATGGTGATAAATAGGGTGGTGAGCATACATCACACTAAATGGTGGTGAGCAAAAATGCACTCCACCCAATCTTCCTGCAATAGCTCTTTATTGATCCGATGGTGCTAGTGATTGGACCGTTGGTTGATCCAACGGTCAAGATTCAAACTTTTATTTTAATTTCAATTTTATAAATGTTTTACATCAACGACTAAGATTGAATATGACAAATTTAACGGTGAATAAAAAAGATCTAATGACTCAAAATTAAATCCAACAGCTAAAAGAATTTTAAAAAATTATTTAAATAAAAATACTTTTAGGTTTAGTGATTTTTTATTATTTATCTGAATCTTAATATTTTTATGTTAAAATATTCCTAAAAATAAATTAAGATAATTTCCATAATTTTTTTAGGAGTAATTTACATAAATTTTATTTTTTAAAAAGTTACCGAAAAAAAAATTTAGCTTAAATTTATTCTTTAAATAATCTTAGTCTAAAATTTTAAGTCAAAATCATTGTAGGATGAAAATTGTTTTTGAATTAAAACCCAAATTTTTTGGGGTAAAAATTTAGGTTTTACCCTAGGGTTGGTCCAAGAACTAATTATTTAATTCACTAACAATATCATTTGTCAAAAAAAAAAAAAAAAAATCAGACTAAGAGATAAGATGATTGTTATCTCTCTCTTTCATCTTTATCTGATTTTTTTTAATTTTTTTTTTTTCATGGAAAAGGATTCATATGATATCGGACGACAATCCTATTTAGAATAAGGGCTGGTTTGATGACAAGGAAATGGAAGATATAGAATAACTCATAACTTCAAGATATGTTTAGATAAGAAATTAAGGTAAGAACTGCAGCACGGTGACGGAAACGATAATTTAAAAGGCACAATTCCGTTGAAATTTTTTTAAATTCCGAGGCCCTTGAGGCCGGAAACGATCTGTTGCACGGTGACGGAGTCTTTCCGAATCCAACAGACAAAGGAGAGAGCTTGGGACAATGTAGTTATGAAAACAATGAGGAGGAACTGCATCCTCTGCCTCCCTTTGTCTATTTTCCCCCTCATGCAATGTCATGCCATTATTCACGTTTTACAAATTTAGTTAATAAAAACTGAAAATAAATAAAAAAGAGAAAAAATAAAATAAAAATCTTACACCTGTTTTAGCTGTCAGTAAATTTCTCAAGTATCTTTGAGTCATCTATTGTGAGTCAAATATAATATCAGATAGGTCTGCTTCAGTAAGATATACTCTTAACCAGTCTTCTGTCTGGTTTAAAAATGTGCCTACTTCTATTGTTAATCCAAATACAATTTGTCTCTAAGTTCAGATCCGACGTGATCTTCTTTATAATGCTAAACCCTAGAGAAAAACATTTTTTAGCAAATTTTTGTTGATATCTCATCACTTCACCTTGAAATATTGCTGCCATTTTAATCTTTTTCAATCTGTCATTTCAAGTTGGATTGGAGCAATGACTGAATGAGATAGTTCAAGTAAAATACTTGGAATTCAAGTTTCTCAAATTTTGTATTCACTGTGCATGAAATCGTTAACTGAGGTGCATGAAATCGCATCCGATTTCGATACTAGTTATCATTCGATGATTCAAAAGGTTTGCCTTGCCATCGTATAGAAAAGATTTGAATCATAAAAGCAGATCGTAGTACTACAAATACAAGGTTGATACTGGTTTAAGAAAGTCAAAAACACAAAAAAAAAAACAGTTTCTTCCATCTGAAAATGTGGCAGAGAAAGCTAGAAAATCGACAAACTTGTATGGATCAAATTGAATTAAAGAGCTCATATTTCACCATCCCACAGTTCTTCAACGCTTTTATAAGGACTCAAGCTCTCGTGGACTACGAAATCACCCCGTAGGAGCCTTTGCTGCATAACAGACAAGCAAGGTAGTGTCAGTAGAAAGTTTTCTGTGATAAAATGTGTTGAGGGATGTATTTAAGCATGTGTAATACAAACCTGGTGGTGTCCTGAAATTTTCGAGAAGAGCTCCGGTGGAATGGACCAGTCGAATAAGCTTAGATTTTCCTTGATCCTGCTTTCATTTACACTCTTTGGAAGGACACTGTGTGCACTCTGAATGCCCCAACGAAGACATACTTGCGCTGTTGATTTGTTGAGTTTCTCAGCAATTTCATTCAGTACTGGATCCTTTAGAACTTCCCCCTTCACCCAGACCCCTGGAGAACCCAGGGGAGAATATGCATGAAAGGAAAGGAAGAGTTTTCGATCAAATAATAAGCTGCTCAGTCTTCTGAAAATTAAAATGGATGTTGAACATTTGAAGTTGGTATCAGATGGATGCTGAACATTTGAAGTTGGTATCGGTGCAGCTCCCTGCAGGACGCCTTGAGAAAATCTCACTTCTGCTCAACTTTCTTCAACTTTGACCTGTTTTAGACATTTGTTTTAGTGTAGAATTATCATTAGAGCTTAGACATTAGATTTCCAGTCTCGGAAAACTTGACTGTTCGATTTTCAGTTTGAAGTATCACATTTTTGGCTCTCAAGCTTTAAAGAACCATTCTATGCCCTAAATCATCAAGTTATCAATCCAATCAATAAATGAGGTCAACTATTGAATATTGAATAGAACTGAGGGAGGAAGTCCTGCAGAGAAAATTTCTCAAGTTGGCATATAGAATTTACCAATAGATGAATCCCAGCAGATTTTCACAAATTATAAAGAGCCGGTTGCTGCCATATAGGGTGGCACTCCACTTGATTTACTGCAGGTGGAACTTTTGCATAAGAAAGGAGGTCCTGCAGCTTCTTAGAGGAGAAGTTGCTCACCCCGACTCCTCGCGCCTGACCAGACGCGTACAGGCCCTCCATTGCATTCCAAGTGTCTAGAAGGCACAATGAAGCCATGACTACCTGAGTGAAACCTACTGAGCCTGGCTTTGTACGAAATGGCAGTGTATCTGCAGAAGAATGTTCACCATAACCATTTAAAATTCTTCGTTATTGGAATTCCGAATTCAGGAAGAAAATGTTAGTCTAGCAAAATGTTGAGGTTACTTATATAAAATACTAGTTGCATACAAGATATAGATTAATATAATCAAGCTGCAGATCTTCTAAAGTCTTGCTCAGTGCCTTGGAGATATCTTCTGGGGAACGGTCGCTGCACCTGTAGACGTCACAGAGACGGAAAAACATTATTAAGTTTTCATCAAGGCCTTGTTTGGCGTCCAAGATTATAAGTTTTTGCGAATAACATAATTATGATTGTTCCAAGTTCTTCGTCAGTCAGAGATACGACGAATTAAAAGAAAGAGAATGAACACATACAAGGTTTCCGATTTGTTTTCGCCTTCCAAGCTTATATGGAGAATGAACCTTGACTGCCGCGATGACAGCTTGACTGACCAAGCCTGGTTCAGCCTTCCATGTCCCAAGACAGACCAACAGATGGAATCTTAGCTCCCGGATTCAGATCAAAATACAAGGTTTCCGATTTGTTTTCGCCCATAATCTACGCACTGAACATGCAATAAGAACCGAGATTAATCCTACAGTAACATAGTCCAATTATATTATTGAAACTTTGAATATGAATTTCAGACACCAGGTGGGTGATGAACTGAAGAAGAAATTACCTATTTGGATCGAACGTCGGGAAAAATGACAGAGATGCAAGATTTCGGAGGCAACTCACCTGTGTTTTCTATGTCCAAAAGTTTTTCTTGGAAGATGATGCATGAGCTATGTGTTGGACAGATTTTGATGGCAAAAAATTATGATCTATCATTACTCCCTAACCGTAAAACTAAGAAAAATGACTTCAAATTAGAAGCAAAATGCAGCCTAGGTGATGCACAAACCGAGTACAAAGAGTTAACTAGGTTCTTCTGTGTCCTTGAAAATTAATGCGGACACGCCAATTCGCTACCAAACTCGGCCAAACATTTGTTGTACAATACCGTCTTCGGTCACGAGTAGGTTGAGGGCAAGGTAGAGGAAGGCAAGAGTTGAGAGCTTTGGTAATTTTGTTGCCAAGTAATGCGAACACTGAGCAGTAACAGCATGGAGAAACACCTTCAGAAAGCACTTTCAAGTGTTTGTACAACGTTATCAAAACCAAAAGCACTTCTAATCATTCTAAACAACTTCCAAACAGGCACTTCAAAATACCATCCAGTTAATACGGAACTGCAGTTGATCCAGTTAATACGTTACAATTCTTAATAGGTATCGAAATACCATCCACGCTGATTAACTAGTTAACAATATTTGACCTAGTTCTAATCTTCTCAATCTACTATACTTAACTATTTATTTAACTAACGGTATCAATAAGAGGTTCTCAAACTGATACAGCACCAGGAAACAGCTCCATTTCTTTTCGTTTACTGCTGAACAGCACGCTTGACGTTCTTCAACCACATCAGGAACTCTTTGTTGTTTTTGTTCTTCATGTAATCATACAAGAAGTCAGCCATGGTGTGCTTGATCCCTCGAGCCTCGAGATACTTGTAGAAAGCATTCTGCAACTTCTCATCCAAGTCGCTGAGGGAAAAAAAAACAGAGCACATCAGAACAGAATGAAACCATCATCAGAATCTACGCAATGCAAACAAAAGGTATGATCCACAGAGACAAAGCTTACGGAAATTCAGGTCCATCATAAGCATAATCAAGCTCTTTGGAAGAAAGCTCAGGCTGCTTGACGGACAAGCTATCGATCGAAATCTCAGTTTCAAAGACAGAAACACCAAGCTCCAGTTGCAGTCCATTTGGTTTGGAAATGCTCACCACCATCGGAATCCCGGGGTCTTCCCACTCGTCCTCATCATCTGCGGAAAAACTAGGAATATCGACACATACTTGGATGGATTCGCCTTCAAATTCTCTTTTGAGCAGAATGGTTTGGTCTCCAGGATTGTCCACTATTTCAAAAGGAAATTTCTCTGGGACCTCCTAATGTGTGAAAATCATACAAATAAAAAAAAAATTACCCAACATTCAATTACTATAAAAATGTAGAGCCCGTTTGGTATTCAATCCAAATACAGTTATAACTCAAAAACAAGTTTTGAGTTTTGAGTTTCAAACTCGAATTCTTGTTTGGTTGGCCTGTTTTTCAAAACTGAATTTAAGAATAACTTAAAAAGAATGCCTAACTACCTCCAAAAACTCTATAGCCCGACTCTCACCCTCTACTCACTCATCTCTCTCTGTGATCTTCGCTGCCAGCGTCGATTTGGGTCCACCGCCGGCGTCGATTCGACTCCGCCGTAGCTCCATTTAGTTTGCTGGTGGGGAAGGTAGTTGCCAATGAGATCCTAACTTACTTCCCTGACCAAAGACTGGGACTTTCCTAATTTTAAGATCTAAAACAGTTTCTGAGTTCAATACCAAACAAAGTTTTGGATTTTGAAAAAAAAAGAAGGCCTGTTTTCAAGAGATGTTCTTTTAAGTTGTTTTTAACCAAAAGAAAAAAGAATGGAGCTTTAAAGTAAAAAACAGAAATTTGATACGCTTACGGCTTTTTTGGGTTTCACGTCTTGGGCACACTTGATCTCGGACTCAAGGACTTCGACCAGACTTTGTTCACCGATCGGCTCCACGGCGGTGGCCGTGGCCGTGGAGAATCGATGAACTGGAACAAAGCTTCTCCGGAGGAGCTGTGGGCTGAAAGCAGGGACGGTGGAGATCGCGCGGTGAAAGGTGGGTGCAGATCCGACGGCGCGGACGGAGCGGACGGCGAGGGCTAGGGCGGAGTAAGACGGCCTGCGGAGCATCGAGAAGAGAGCCATTTGAGGTCCGGCTATGGCTGAAAATTCAGCTGGTTTAGGGTTTTGCAATTTCAGCAGGGTTTTGTCTTTTCGCTTGGGGTTTTAGGAAGATGCAATACGTATGTAGTATTGGACTATGGGCCTATGGCTTTGGAATTGGAATTGTAAAAGAGAACACGTGGGCTTAAACGCATTAAATTAGAGCGGTGTGTCTCATTAAGCACTTAAATTTAAATTACTTTTATGCCGTTTAGATTAGTTTAACATATAATTTTTTTGTATCAAAAATATATAGTATTATCTACGCACTTATTTTTACTTGCCACATCTTTTTTGTTAATTTTTGTTTTTTGATATTTTTCAATTCATTCTATCAGACGACTGAAAATTAAAAAATGTGTGAAAAGTAAAAGAAAATATGTGAATAGCACCACCGAAAATATGTCTGTACAAACGAAGATTTTATTATGCAACAAGATTTTTGGTCGTCAGACATTAGTTCATAGGAGCCAAATTTGAACAACCAAAAATCCCAGTGTATGTATTACACAGGAGCATACCGAAAAATTCAATGTAAGAGAGCCCAAATGTATCACCCTAGTCTTATTCTTTAAAAATAGCCTTTGCAACCGGTTCTGTTTGTGTATATTTGGCGAAACTCGTTTCACTACATTCATACAGGCCGGAAAAAATCCGAACTCTTTACTTTGAAGAAACTGAAAAATTGCTTCAACATTGTCTTCCATTGAAGCACTCATCCGGACTTCTAAATTTCTCCGTCCCACAATTCCTCAAGCGTCCTGTAGGCCCCATACGTATCATGAACAAATTGAGTCCCTCTAACCAATCTTGCCTGCATAGTTGAACATCAAAGCAAAACTTAGGAATTAGGTGTAAAGACAATCAGGACACTTCTGGAGTGCCGAAAACAAAACCAAGCTCAAAGAATAATGCAAATGGAAGAACAGAAGTTGGATATTTTAAGGTGGAATGTGTTTCTTGCTTTAGACCTAGATGATGAAATAAGATCTTGGCAAAGGATAACAATAGCAAGGCGAATAGAAAACCGATTACAGTAACTACTAGCCTGCTGAATCTCAGAAAGCTTGGCGAACAAGTCCTCCGGGATAGACCAGCCAAAGACATTGAAGTTCTCCTTGATCCTTGTTTCATTAGTACTCTTAGGAAGAACACTGTGCCCCATTTGCAGTCCCCACCTAAGAGCAACTTGTGCAGGAGTTTTGCCTAGTTTTTCTGCGACCATGAGAAGGATTGGATTCTGAAGGACGTCACCTTTGATCCATGATGTGCCCGGAGAACCCAGTGGTGAGTATCCCTGAAAGAAAAGTACGCAGTTACTTCAACTTTCGAGCTAACTTGCTGACTAGGTAAATTAAATTCTTGCCCAATTATATGGGTAACTCCCTCGAGAAATGTCAACGAAATAAGAAATTTGGCATTGAAAATGTCATTCAATATTTGCATACTCACCTGTAAATGAACTCCCTTGGATTTACAGAAAGAATGTAGCTTGCCTTGCTGCCACGAAGGATGACACTCCACTTGGACAGCAGCTGGAGGAATATGTGCCACATCCAGCAAATCTGACAGTTTCTTCGTAGAGAAATTGCTTACGCCAATAGCTCGAGCCTTACCCGAATCATAGAGGGTTTCCATTGCTCTCCAAGTGCAAGGGATATCTGGTTGAACCAGGTTTTCAGGATCAAAACTTGCTGACCCCTTCTTCAACCGGACTGGCCAATGCATCTTCAAATTTTCAGCAGGTCATTAGTTACAGCTGAGTTATGCCCACAAAGGTATAACAAATTCAACACAATGATGCTAATGATCTATAGTTACAGATGGAAATTGTAGTCTTTTAAAGGAGCATCTGTTCTAAGTAAAGCAGTATTACACCTTCAATTTGGCATTTACTTGTGCTGAGCTTAACAGCAATAACTAGAGAATACGCTTTGAACAGGTAACACTTACCAGATACAAGTCAACATAATCAAGCTGCAAGTCTCTCAAAGTCCTGTCCATTGCCACTAATACATCTTCTGGTGCATGATCTGTACTCCTGCAGACCATCTAGTTTTTTAGAAACTACAAAATTAAGCAGACGCTAAAGGATTAGATAATGCCAAATCATAACTGAACAAGGCTCACAGCACCACCACATTATACAATTTATAACTCATTGTATCTCTTTGTCAACGGAATTAGCATTAAAAATTGAAACAAACCAGAGTTTGGAGGTAATAAACAAATCCTCGCGCTTCACCATGCCATCTTCAAACAACTTCTTGAGAACCAAACCAATCTACAAGAAATAAAAACTACATCTTTGTCACATTCAAATCACCAGAATAACACAATAATAATCCAAACTAAAATTGAATACGTAAGCCAATGACCACTTAGCAGATTATGAGTTCGAATCTCATAGATGACGATTGTTGATTAATAAAAATAAATAAAATTAAAAAAGCAAGTCATAAGGATACCGGCGTATAATCAAACTTACAAAGGTGAATGCAATCAATTAGGTTAGGGAAAGTTTACATTTTGGTTGAAGCAATTTTAGACATGAAAAAAACATTAAATAATTAATGGAAATTAACTAAAATTTTAAAAATTAATCTAATAATTTAGCCAAATTCAACTCAAATCACCTCCTTCTCATTGCCATAGCGTTGAGCACAATCGATATGGCGATATCCTGCCTGTAATTTGTTAGAAAAAGTCACATTTTGTTAGTGAGATGGAAAAATGATAAGTTCACCAAATCAAAGGTCGAGATTGATCAAAACTGAAAGCGGTGAAAGAGAAAGACCTTGATGGCGGCGGCCACGGCGTCTCCGACGAGGCCAGGGCTCGACTGCCAGGTCCCTAACCCTACTGAAGGGATCTTAGATCCGGTGTTCAACCGGAAGAAACGAATATCGTCCGCCATTTCTCGATTTCTCAGAAGATCGAGTGATGTGGAATGGAGCAGTGAACAGCCACTTGGCCCTCTGTTTATATTGGGGGGGGGAGCGGGAGGGAATCAGAAATTGGAATTAAACGAAAGCCGATTGGTTTTTTTTTTTTGGATAAATCCTTTCCGTATTAAGGAACAAAAATTTATTAAAATTGTAATTCACATAATAAAGACCCACAAACAAATATAAACAAAACAAAAAGGGACCATCCAAGCTAACTTAAAAAAGCCCAACCAAGAGCCCAAATTTTGATACAGAGCAAAAGAACGTTCCAGATTCCTACCACCGCCGCAATAGTTCTTCCCGATCAACCCAATTTGATTTCCACAATAGACGCCGCAATTCCAACCAAGCAGCACTGGAGATGAAATGAGAGCAAGTCCCACCCCACACAATTTAGCCCAGCACCCAGCCCAAGCCAGGCAACAGATCAGCCCATTTCGGATAGATCCAGAGGCCGGCCTATTTGGTTGGCGCTTGCACCACACTCGCGACTGGGCGCGAGTAGGAGACGACAAGGGTGTAGGCGGTGGGGCCCGCTTGTCAGCCCACTTGTGTTCACCCGGATTAGGGCTACGTGGCCATCCTCAGTGTTGTTGGATTTCCAACGGCTAGTTTTTGTAGACCGTTGGATATCCGACGGTAAAAAAAATTTAAATTTGACTTTTAAAATGGATCGTCCGATCACAGATCAACGGTCCATGATTTTTTCACAAAAAATAAAAATAAAAATAATAAAAAAGGCCCAACGGTCAGAAATATGACCGTTGGCCACGTGGTAACTCCTTGGCTATTTGATTTGAATATTTTTCAAATCCAACGGTCTAGATTAATTAACTATATTAAAATTTATTAAAAATTATCCTCATCCTCCTCATCCTCCTCCAAGAAGAAAGCCTTATCTCCACCTCCACTTTCCTCAAGATTGCCCAATTCTGCCTGTTGTGCCAACAACCTTTTCTGTTGCTCCTGCAACTGTTATACACTCTCCTTGAAGAAGACATTGTAATAAGAACTCAAGATTTGAAAACGATGAACAAGGATTCTGAGCTAAAAAGAAGGATTGAGCTTGGTGTGAGGATGGATGTAGGGATGTAGAGTTTATATGGACAAAAAAAGAAAGGATGAGGTTCTGGACATTGCCACGTGGCACTACGTGATTGGTTGAAAATCTTATCGAAATCTTGGCTAAATTATTGTAAACCGGAAGTGACACGTGGCACATCGGGATTGGTCAAAAATATTATCGGAAATCTATCCACAAAATAGTACGTTCGGATAATGACATGTGGCATGACGTGATTGGTTGAAAATTTTATCGAAATCTTGGCTAAATTATTGTAAAACGGAAGTGACACGTGGCGCGTCGGGATTGGTTGAAAATCTTAGCGGAAATCTATTCACAAAATAGTACGTTCGGATAATGACACGTGGCGTGACGAGATTGGTTAAAAATCTTATCCGAAATTAAAACTATTTTATTTTTTTAGAAAAAAATTTAAAAAATTTTAAATGGGCTGGGTGCCAGCGCATTTTGTAGGGGTGAAGATCGTTTGTGCTAGCGCATTTTTTCACTAGGTGCCAACGCATTTTTTAGGGGTGGAGATACATTGGCCTATTATTGTTAATTGAAGTCTGTTACTGTTCACTGAAGTGGATAAATGGGCTGGGTGCTGACACAAAGTCCTTAGGGGTGGACTTGCTCTGAAGTAATACCCCATCGCCTAGCCATGAACGCCGCACCGATCTTAGCCAGAAATTGATAGAAATCCGTAGGATTACCACGAACAACATTGCCAACAAAAGCATACAGAGAGAAGGAGGTGGCGTTGTAAACACTCGAGACTGCGTGACCACCAGAACTCTACACACCCTAAATTGAAAGATCTCATCAAAATGCGTTGAAAGTTGACAACAGACCGGGTCGAAAGTGGTCGAAGAAGATGGACGCCCGTGAGGTTTAAAGGACAAGGTAAATCGGGAAGGAAAGATGGGGGAAGAGGTAGCAAAAGGAGCAATAGGAAGAAATAGAAAGAAAAAGGACAAATTTTCCACCGACCACTGCCACAGTGAGGGTTGCCGGGGACAAAATGAACAGATGGGAAGCTATTGGTGGTTTGGTTGGAGGAAAATTTTCAAATCCAATTTTTCCCCAATCCCTTTTTTAATCGAAAACTACCCTCTTGCCACATGTTTGGCAATTGCCTTTTTTTTTAATTGTTTTTTTAAAATAGTATTTTGAAAAATAATGAACATAACAATCCTCACTCTTATTACGTGACTTTTCTTTTGGAAAACAATATTCACACTCATTTTTACTTTTAACAAACTTTGTTAATTTTTGTCATTGATCTTTTTCAATCTATTTGATCAAACGGTCGAAAATTTAGTTTCACCTTCTCCCTTTATATACAGATTTAAATTTATACTTATTTTAAGTATTTTTTTTAATAAAATATAGTTTTAAAAATAATGAACGTAACCCCCCACATACGTGATTTTAATTTTTTTTTTAAATCTTAATGGGAGAAGGGGAATTTAGATGTTATGAAATCTTCAAATTTTTTACCTTCTCTGTTTATATATACATGTATAGATTAAGATTAGCTATATGTATGTAGTCCACCAAATAATTAAGAAAAATCACCCACCGGTAAAGAAAATAGGGAAATTGTAATCATATAATGACGATATAACTATCAGTTACAGAAGACTAAAAACCTCTTGAAAAATTGATCATTTTGGTTTCTCAACTCTATTGGATGGCGTGATAACAATTTGTCACATCCGGTATGGGCCCCACCACATCCCGGACCGGGATGTGACAATTTGGTATCAGAGCCAATCCCTGGCCAATAATGTGCTGACGAGGACGTCGGACCCAAGGAGGGTGGATTGTAAGATCCCACATCATCCAAGGGTGAGGATCCTGTAAACCTTATATGTATATTCTTATCTCTATCTAGCACAATACCTTTTGGGAACTCACCGGCTTCAGATTCCATTGGAACTTCGAAGTTAAGCAAGTTTGCACGAGAGCAATCCCATGATAGGTGACCCACTGGGAAGTTCTCGTGTGAATTCCTAAAAACAAAACTGTATGAGCGTGATCGGAGCCCAAAGCGGACAATATCGTGCTACGACGGAGTCGAGCCCGAGATGTGGTGGGAGCCTGGGCCAGGATGTGACAATTTTGGAATCCGAAACCAGTGAGTTCTCAAAAGCCGTCGTGCTAGGAAGAGATAGGAATATATACATATAAGGCTTACATGATCCACTCCCCCGGACGATGTTGGATGTTACAATGAACATTCGATCTAAAATCAATTGGTCACAAGTGCTGTAGGTTTTTGTGCTCGACTTTGGTTGTGAGATACTCAACAAAATCCAAAAACTAAGAACAAAATAATTACCAAACATAGATACCGTCAAGCCAAAGCTGAGCAATAGGCAATCAAGACAAACAAAATGCTGAAAGTTGCAAGTAGCGTAATCAAGCTAATCGTTATTTAGGACATCAACGGTCACACTAATCATAATTTATTACATAAAAAATGCCCCCAGAATCTCTTCCACGAAAGCATTCATGATTCATCCCTCTCTAGAATCTAGATTTCACCGTCCCAGAATTCCTCTAAACTCCTGTAGGGACCAAAAGTGTCATGAACAAATGTGGCCCCTCTGATCAGTCTTGCCTGCATAATTTGGAAATCAATGTAGTTAGTTAGGAGAAAACACTACATAGCAATTATTAGTGCATGATTCACTCGGGATACCGCAATAATGGCATCCTCCTTGAAGGTTAGTTAGGTTACTGATAGCAGCGAGAATAGAGAATCAATTCCGGTGACAACTTACCTGCTCAATTTCAGAAAACTTGGCGAACAAGTCATCTGGGATAGACCAGCCAACACATCAAGGTTCTCCTTGATCCTCGCTTCATTGGTACTCTTGGGAAGAACACTATGACCCTTTTGCAGTCCCCAACGGAGAGCACTTGTGCAGGAGTTTTGCCTAATTTCTCAGCGACTGTCACAAGAATCGGATTCTTAAGGACTTCACTTTTGATCCATGTTGTTCCAGGAGAGCCCAGTGGGGAATATCCCTGAGAGCAAAAATATATGATATCTCCCATTTAAACACGCCAAAGTAAATTAGATAAACAATTACCCAAGTACACACAGGTATGTTGTAACTACTCAAGACACAGACAATGCAATTCAGTATTTGCATACTCACAGAAAGGTGAACTCCCTTGGATTTACAGAAAGAACGTAGCTTGTCCTGCTGCCACGAGGGATGGCACTCCACTTGGTCAACAGCAGGAGGAACACGTGCGACATCCAGCAAATCTGACAGCTTTTTTGTGGAGAAATTGCTCACACCAATAGCTCGAGCCTTTCCCGAATCATAGAGTGTTTCCATTGCTCTCCAAGTTGCAGGGACATCAGGGTCAATAATATTTTCAGGCTTAAAACCTACTGATCCCTTCTTCATCCGGACTGGCCAGTGCATCTTCAAAATTTTCAGCAGGTTCATTAGTTACAGCTTAAGAACTCCAACAAAATGCCACAATGAATCCAAGATGAGGCTAATTATCTGTGATTTTATCCTGATAATATATAGCAAAATGCAGGTAATATAGCCAGACCAGTCCACTCCTTCAAAAGGACCTCCGCTTTCAGTAAATTTAAAAACAAAATGCGTACAATTTATATCAGACTCTAACAGGCATGACTCGAGAACAAGATCTGGCCATGTAATACGTACAAGGTACAAGTCAACATAATCCAGTTGCAAGTCTCTCAGAGTCCTGTCCAATGCCTCTGGTACATCTTCTGGAGCATGATCAGTATTCCTGTGGATAAACAACCGAAACAGTCATTCCATTTCATCACGCCCTCATGGAAATTCCTCGAGATCTAGTACTCAGTTAAATAAGCATTAAACAAACCAGAGTTTGGAGGTAATCCACAAATCCTCGCGCTTCACCACACCATCTTCAAACAGTTTCTTCAGCACCAAACCAATCTACAGGAAATAAGAACATGCTGGTCAAACCAAATTCTGGTAACCACTCAAACATCTTCAAAGAATGAGTCTAACATGAATAATTTCAACTTTTATCTGGACTTGAATACCAAGAAATGCCCGTAAAGTAATTGAATTTAAGAGGTAATGCAAGGCAATTAATCCGCTCAGAAAAAAAAAAAAAAAAAAAAAAAACTTATACCGTTACTTGGAGCATTTTTCTCAACTCTTTTTCCGCCTGGCGCATGTATTTTCTCTCTATCTCTACTTAAAAAATCGTGGAGTAAAAACTAAAAACGAAATAGTTAACAAACGAGGACTTCGTTTGGTAAAAAG